GATTCGTTCGTTATTAAATGAAATTAATTTATTAAATATTGAGCTGTTGGCTTGCGACCATTCGGTGTTTGTATTTCACAGTTTTTAGTCGACGAAACGATGCTTTGTTGCGTTATGTTTTTTTAGAGAAGGTGCACATGCATACGTCTATGATTTTGTAGACAAACGCGGTACTAATATTGTGTCTGACAAACGAGAATGCTTTGAGGGCGAAGAACATACGACCGTATTGGCCGACGGAGATCGGAAGTCGTTACGCACGTTCGGACGGGAAATTTTCGGTTCGAAAGATCGGCGTCCAGAACCTTAGCTACTGCATACTGTCGGTGCTGGCGGTTCAACGTCGCGACACGGCAGAAGAGCGCAGAATCAAGCACGTGGTGTACCTTAAGTGGCCGGATCACTCGGTGCCGTCCTGCACTCACGACTTTCTACAGATCGTCGCCAACCTGAACAAAGTCGCTCGCCAACCGAAGGCCTGTAGCCACGTCGCTTCCGATCACCCCCCGATCGTCATGCACTGCTTCGCCGGGATCGGAAGGTCGGGCACGGCGGCGGCTGCGTATTTTCTCATCGAACTCGTGCAACGAAAGTACGCGCCGGATATCAGTCGCCTCGTCGCTGACCTCCGACGACAAAGGTGTTTGGCAGTGCAAGGAGTCATTCAGTACATATTCCTTTACAGAGCTGTGGCTGAATTCTTGCTGGCCAAAGCAACGCTGTCGGCTGAATTTCCACAACATCTGAAATTGCTGCATCTGCTTCGGGACTGTACTACTAAAAGCGAATGCGACCTTGCCGTAAGTGTTTTGTCCTCCTACCTCACTTCCCTTGAAACGCGTCCTGCCCCCCCCCCCAAACGCTGCCTTCACGGCTGCTGGTGTAATTTCCCCACCTAGTATGCCGGTCGACGATCATGTCCCACCGGTGAGCCGAGCTACCTGCCCTACCCAGCGTAGGTCCTCATTTCCCTTTTCGACGTCTTTCACTCTCGTGCATTGTCTGATCACCTTGTTGGGATGTGGTGGCGACATGCTATTCAAGACTCTCTTGGTTACAGAATGCTGACGCTCTTCGACTTTGGTGAGAGACGGATCTCACACCGATACACATTGTCAGCAGGACGGTAGAATGGAAGAGGTTGGCGCAGGTTCCTTTCCTAATGTTACCGAGGAGAACGTCTTTGATGAAATGCAACGAATGCTAACCGCCTTTTTTTCTCATTCCCATTGTCCGTTGAATATCTCCGGCACTGTACCTATTACCTTCCATTTAAATTCTCATCATAGATGGCTCAATCATTAAAATATTCAGTCATTCTAGATTATTAATTTGTGAATAACTCCTTCAAAATCAGATTTCAGACTGCAGTTCATTACGAGACATTTATGAAGATCGTATCTCCAAGTTCAGCTCTGTCGGGGACAGTAATTGGTTGGGAAGCACGCTGCAGGAGTTTGAGGCGACGGTGTTGCCCGCCGTTTGTTAGTGGTGTCTTTCCACGGCCTTAACCTTGCAAAGTGCGGCATTTTTTTAAATCGGTTGGGCTGGATAAATGTTGGATGTTGGTAATATTTCATAAACGAGCTGCCAAACAATTAATAACCAGAAAATCTAAAACATAAACGGAAACGGAATAATAGGCGCAGGCCACCGTCCCAGTCTGAACTTGAACAACACAGATGATCCTGAACATCATCAAGATCCTCATGGTTCCACAATGCGAAGCGCTATCGACAGATGGATATGGCGACGCATAAGTCAAAGAAACGGTCAAAATCAACGCGGACGTGATTGGAAAATGCAAAGATGCAAAACCTGAAGAATTACCAAGGGACCAAGGGCTCCTTGCAAAGGCTTGCGAGAACCAGCATCGTGGCGGCAGCGGCGTTCGGTTCATAATAAAAAGGAAAACCGTAATATTTTTAGTGAGCTGAGACATTGTATCACCCAGTATAACATTTCGGCTTCTGCAGATATATAGATGATAACTGTAAAAATGGATTGTACTGTGTAATATAAGCTGTACTAACAAGTTCATGATGACATGGCATTGGTATTGCAACAGGCTGGGAGTTGCTGAGAAACAGGACGCGGAACCTGGTCACAGGGCTTTACTTGCAACTACAGCGTGCGTACAAATCGAAGCAGCTGCCTACAGGAGAGATCATGTCTTCATATCTTCATAATGACCTCCCTGTTCCAGCGCTCACTGGTCCTCTTATACTCCTGTGGATTCTTTGTTCATCTTCGGGGACCAATCCGCATTGACCTGCTGACTGTACTTCCGGTGCAAGGTGCGCCTTTGTGTTGCAACATGCCGATGGGGAGCGCTCTGTTTTGTTCGGCCGAAGTTTAAGGTTTTCTATGGAAGGCGAGAGCTTCCC